ATTTGAAAATTCCTAGATTTCTTTTTGAGATTCATTGAACATTTCAATGGCATGTTTAAATCTCGATATGCACTTCAAATTTGCGACTGGGATGCCGAGGATCGCAAACAAGTTTGTGAATAACCATGTGAATCAACATGGTGCACTCAATGTCTTCATCACCTAATCAATGTGCCGGTTAGCCACACACGCTCCATTGATCTATGATAAAACATCGAGCCACCCTTTGTCACCAATGTCAATCCCAAATTAGTGTGCCGGTTAACCACTCACGCTCCACTAACGTTTGACAGGGGTACAAAGTGTAATTCCATGGAATAGCATCACTTTCACATTTTACCCTAAAGTAACTAAGATTGGGAATTTATAAAACAATGTAGTTACTTTAATATTTCCATTATACTTATAATGAGGAATTAAGTGCCCTATCCTATCCGTTCAGCTAACGACCCTCCACCAGTCAAGCAAGCGGTAGGTGTGAGTGTACACCCATTAAGCGCCATTTTATAGGCAGCAACCTTATACCCACCTTATAGACTGGTTTCGTGAATGAGGCCTACTAGCGATAAGACTAGCTTATTCTTATACATATATATTAATTAATCTTGTAATAATATAATAGTATAGGGTTGAATTTTAAACTTGTAAAATTCTAAGGGTTTGAAATTTAAATCATTCAAAATTAAACTTTTAATCACAAAATTTAAATTTCAAAACTTGAGGACAAGTTTTGAACTTTTCAAAACACAAGGGATCAAATAACAAATAATATAAATTAAACAATTTATTTTATGATTATCTATATTTGACCTAACCCAATTTTAGTCACAAGATAATTACCAAATAATTCAAATAATCCAATATTTATCATATAAAGAAACTATTATTCAAAAGATTTGAAATTATCTTTTGTTTTGGCAGGGATAATCATTCAAATATAATAAAATTCGGATTTTATCTTCAAAAAACGATTTAGGCATTAATCCCATGACAAAACAGCAACAAAATCCCGAAATATCCTCTGCCTGATGCACAGACTCGCCGAGTCAGTCCTGGACTCGCTGAGTCGGGCCAACTCGCCGAGTCCAGATACTGACTCGCCGAGTTGAGTCGGGCAGAGGCAAGAAAAACGATTTTCAGCAATTAAACAGTTAAGGCATCACATACAACAGAAACCAATCAAGGCTCTGATACCACTGATGGGTTTTATGCATAAGAACAATCCTATGTGCTCATACAAACCCTAATGCTTGGATCTAGGTTTCTCTATTGTACATGCATTGAATCCAAGACTTGTAAACCCTAATCTAGCATACATAATTCGAAAATTAACTTAATACATCAGATCTAGATGTTTACCTCTTCAAAGATTGGCTTAGATCTTCTTTTCTTCTTCTCTTGAGCTTAGAGTCACAATTGTAACTCCTCTAATGGATCACAAACACCTCAAGCAAGAAGGCAACTTTGAGAAAGGAGGGAGGATGCTAATTTTCGGCCCTAGGGATTCTCTTGGAAGCAAGTGGCCAAAAAATTGGAGCCATGGGGTCTTATTTATAGTGCAGGCTGCTAGGGTTTCAGTCTAAACCCTAATGGATACCTTAGCCACCAAGTAGCCCAAGGAACCTTCTGGAATAAGGCCCTTGGACGAAAATATGATGATCCTTCATCATAATTTCGTTCCCCCTTAGTCCATTAGGTTTCCCAGCCCAAAACTCAACTATCACACATCTGACAGTTTATGCCCCTTTATTTAATTAATCTCTTTTAGTCACCAAATTAATTCCTAATTAATTTATGACTAATACTAATTAAATAAATATGATTTCTCCTTTAATACATTATTCTTATAATATATCAATAAACCATAATATCCTCTCTTTTTCCTCAAATTACATTGTCAAGTTGCTTTGGTGAAGGCAACCCAAAAGGACCATGCACAACCGGGTCAAGTACATACCAAATATAGTTACGGGCTTAGACACTAATCCAACAGATACTACAAAGATGAAGTCACATCAAGCCCCCGGATGTTTCCGTCATCTGGTTCGGGGGTGTGACATCAACCATTCATTCATTCATTTCCAAAAGCCATCAAGTATAAAATATTATTAATAGTTATCAGAGTACAAATCGAGTCATAAAATGCAAAACATTGTTGGATGCAATGCAATCACGTCGAGCTCTTCCCTTTGGAACCAGAAGTACCTGAAACATAAGCATAAAACCGTAAGCACAAAGCTTAGTGAGTTTCCAAAATACCGCATACCATACATACAATGGGCATCACCCTGCATCGGGCCCCGCCCGATACAGATCTGTCAGTAACATGCGATGGGCCCCGCCCAACACATTCATCAGGCCCCACCTGGTATACATACAAACTCATATAATACATACAAGAGTCACACAGACAGCTAACATTCCCTAATCATAATCAATGGGTTGGCATTGGTGCCTTCGACCCGTAAATATTGTGAGGAGACTCACCTCAATCTAATGATGACCAAATCACACACACACTGCTGCTATAGGGGTCCTCATACTAAACACATCCAAAATCACCCTAATAAATAATTAGGGTAACAACCCACAATCAAAGGTCCAATTCTTATTCTATCATACTGAGGGTAAAAGACCATTTTACCCTTCCCATACTTGACCCAACAATTCATGGCCCAAAACCCAAATGACCCAAGGTCCAAGAATGACCCATATATGCTTCTGGTGAGTACGCCCCGCGTACCACATTAGTACGCATGGCGTACTGCTCGATCGAAGAAAGGGATAACAGTTGGGACCTGAGACACGCAGCGTACCATGAGGGTACACCTAGCGTACTACTCAACTGTCCAAACTCAACTTTGAGTTCTTAGTGCTTAAAGAACAAAACATCCAATTCACAGATCTAACTCTAAGGGACGTCTTAAGTCATAAAGTTCCTAACTTTATGGCTTTGCATGGCTTATTGGAGTCCAAACGAAAGCCTTAGATTCAGAACTTTACCAAAAGACCACTAACTCATGCATGGAAGAGATATACCCATCAAGATTCGATTTTTATAACTTAATAACCTCAAAAAAAATGATTAGAAAAGAGGCTCAAAGGTTTTGGAGTAACTTCTACTCACAAGATCCTAGCCATGGAACCAGAACAAGCTTAAAACATAACCTAAATCTAGATCCACATTAAAGAACCATCAACATTGAAGGTTTATACCTCTAGAAGAAAGATCAAGGTGAATAAGATATGGATCTACAAGCTCCAAGACAACCAACACTTCTCCAATGAGGTCCTTATTCTCCAAGATGCACCTAGAACACTCCAAAACACTCAAATGCTCAAGAATCTCACAAATGGGGCTAGGTTTTGAGGGAACTGCTTTAGAGGGTGGAGGCTGAAGATAAGAAGGGTTTCCAATAAGTTAAGGTCTTTAAATAGGGTCCAAGACCCAAAAATTAGGGTTTGACCTTGACTTGCGTACGCCCAACATAATCTAAGTACGCCTAGCGTACTCTAAGTACGCCCATCATACTAGAGAGAAACATCGCGATCAGCTTAGCGATGTACACCCAACGTACATGCCATGTACGCCCAACGTACTAGCCAAAACTCATTCCCATTCTAACTTCCAATGGCCATAATGCGTCCCAACTCCGTTTTCGGCATTCTTTATATGCTCAGATAGGTAATGAAAAGCCATACAATTTTATCAACTCTCCTTTGACTTAAAACCTTCTGAACTAACATCCTTGAATCAAGAAAAGGTCCGAAGCATCACTTTTACCATTATACCCTTGGACCCCAAAGTACAAACCGAAAGCTTGAATCATACAACCTATATAATCCACACCCAATTGGGTCTAAAACCTTTCCTTTGAAGTCTAGGGCCCTCACTTGATCCATTAATGTCCATAATTCCCGAAATAGGAAGCTTCTCGAAACCGGATGTTACAATTTAAAATAGTTAACTATAACAATAATTAATAATAACACTAAATTCAACATTTTTTTTCATGCACAAGATACGGATAGAGACCATTGAGATGATGTGGTTTTATTATGTTTATATTTTTACATGTTTAATAGTTATTCATATAACGTGGTTTTGATATACATCTAACTGATCGTGTACTTAAAATAATTTTTTTTATCAACTTAGTATAAGAATTATTATTTTTATAGTTAAGATCGATGACGTAAATGTTTATCTATAACATATATTTTATTTTTATTTTTTAACAAGTAATTATAATCCGTGCAACGTACGAATATTTGTCTAGTTGAAAGAAGAAAAACAAGTAAGGCTTCTGGCTTAACTAGTTAGGACATCTGCAACCTACACTATACTCTACACTAAACTCACTTTTACACTAAATCTATACTAAAAATTTTTGAACCACACACTAAACCTAACACTATATATAGTGTTGGTGAATAGTATAACACAAAATATAATGTTATACTATTCATCCACACTATCTTTTACACTGTATGAGTTGGATAAAATAGAATATACCTAGAATATTCTTTTTAGTATTAAGTGTAATATAATGAGTCTGAGAGAATTTAATCATTACACTATCTTTTACATTATAAATTATAAGTTTCATGTAAAAAAAATAATGTTAAGGGTTAAAGACAGTATAAGGACATGGTTACGGAGAGTGACGATCAAATCTTATCCCCTTCTTTCTTTCACAAAAATCATATTTTCTTGAAACCACATCAACAACCCTCCCAGTTTAGCAAGCCAAAATAAACAAATGACCTCTGAAAATGTCAAAAAGAAGTGTTAACTTAAGCCACATCAATAACCCTTTTAGCTCGATAAAAAATAAATAAATTAGCAGGTTTTTTGGATTTTCTAATTTAAAAATATTTTTTTTAAACCGGAAAACCTTCATTATATATTTTAGTTTTGAATTTTTTTTTCTATGATCTTTCTAAACATTTATAATTGTTTGTAACATTTAATATAAAATTTTATTACACTTATCATTTTATTCTTGGGTTTGGGAGTGTTATTTGTGTGGTTAGTTTCCTTCCCCCTGGAAAGAGGGCTTTTGAGAGTGTAGTAATTTGCAGACTGAGAGTAAATAAGGTTTGAAGCTTGAAGGCATGGCGATGGGGGCCATACATTTCGCAGCACCTTCAGCCTCCGCCTGCATCAGCAACAAGGAATTCAACATCATCTTATGCAGTGGTAACGGAACAAAACGAAGAATTAAGTCGTTTATGACTACTTCCTCTTCATGTAGCAGCGGCAGCAGAAGAAGAAGTGGAAGCGTCGTGATTAGGGCAATCAAAGAGGAGACTAAGCCGAAACAGAGTGATTCTTCTTCTTCACCAGATGTGATAACTCAGAAGTACGGCCTTGAAGCTGGTCTATGGAAGGTACCTTCTTCTTCTTCTTCTTCTTCTTCTTTTATTCATATCTTATTCCTCCAATTTAGACTTACCGTTACTATCGTTTCTTTCGTCGATTGAGCCTGCACCCGAATCTTATTAGTTCTTATTTCAAATTACTTAGCGTTGGAGTAATCATGTCTTGTTGCACGGTAAACTTCAACGTTTGTCTTCGGAATTTCAATTTGGCTATTCCATTCGTTCAATCGAGGAAGAAGATAATGGCGATTTGTAGCCACAAGTTTCATTTTAGGAAATATACTTTAAAAAAGTAGGATTGGTTTTATAATTTTGTGCACATTTTAAAAAAGACAAGTGTCCCTGTGTAGATATTTAGCTCAAAGGAGGAGGAGGAAGATGAGAATGTGGATGTGAAGAAATCAAAAGGGGATCAAGCAAAAGAGCTGTTGACTAAATATGGTGGAGCCTATTTGGCCACGTCCATCACTCTCTCATTGATCTCATTTTCCTTATGCTATGCCCTCATTACTGCTGGTGTTGATGTTCAAGCCTTGTTACAAAAGGTATATTATTAGGGTTTTGAAAGAAATATATGTTTTAGGACCAAAATTTAATTTGCAACCACATTTCAACTGGTTAAACAAATTAGAATAAAATATTATTTTGATCCTAAGATGAAACGTTGTTGCATAACTTGGGAAAAAGATGAAACATTGTTGCATAAATGTGCATCTAACCCTAACCCTAACCCAATTAATTATATTACATGTTTTGCTTGTAAAAATATGAGGTAACATTGATAATATAGTTAATAGATTTGTATGCACAAGACAAATCTACTTAAGTTGTGTTTATTAACATGGAAAGTGGTGTTGTAGGTGGGGATTTCAGCTAATGAAACAGGAGAAAAAGTGGGGACCTTTGCATTGGCATATGCTGCGCATAAAGCTGCATCACCCATAAGATTTCCGCCTACTGTAGCACTCACACCAATTGTTGCTAGTTGGATAGGCAAGAAAGTGGATAAAGATAACTAACTAGCTCAACCATCACTCTGTTCTTGTATTGTATGTACTTTTATACAAAAATCCTTGTTAAGGGATATATATGTATCATATGTATACTGTATACATACCTGTTTTTGCAGCATATATGTAAGGGCTAAATACAGGAAATAACAATCTAATTTCATTTATTTGCATCCATCCTACTTTCATTTCTTATCATTACAACATTATACTATCAATTTGTTTCTTGTTAAGGCGTTGTACTTGAAAATAGACAAGAAAATTGTTGAAATAACTATAGTTGAAGCATTGGGGGTGCAGATATAACATCCTACTTCCATTTCCTTATTACAATGGTATATTCTTAAAAAAAAAAAAAAAAAAAAAAAAAAAAAAAAAAAAAAAAAAAAAAACATTGTACTTTGAAAAACTACGGAGTTATAACATTGTCACTTCAGTTTTTTCTTATTAGAATATTATAGTTTAAAACATCACCATATCTTAACAGTCGATTCAATTTTTATTCTTATCAGAACATTTTACTTACCTAAACCTAATTCCAGTAATGAAGATTGCTTTGTATTCGAATGACATTGTTGTAATGGGTAAACATTTTAAAGTATAATGATGTGTATTAGGGTGCTATAATATACGAATCAACAGAAGTATATTGTTATTTATTGCATTTAACTAGGCTTGATGTTGCAAATCAAATGGATTCAGAATCAACAAGAATTTTATAAGGATACTTAGAAAGTGCCACTTTGCTAAAAGAATCTGGACACACTAAGTTACTAAAATACGCATGTATTGTAATGTAATCCCCCTCCTTGTTCTGTTTGATATCTTACAAAGCCTACTTGATACATGCTGAGAAACTGGAATATTTACAAGGTGCTTTGTCACTAAACAGCAACCAAGTTACATACATGTTCCACTCCACCTAAGTACCCCCAAACTTTTTCTTTGAACAGGTTTAACCACTAGACTTTCAATTTCGTTCCATTGTTGACAAATTTTGTTTTTTGTTTATACTGCTTTGTTTTGTTGACCTGACACGGCTGTGGTGTGTTTTATTGAAACAGTTTCAGTTATATCACCAACATGTTTCAATCAGGATCTAAACGAAAAGATACAAAGATTCACAATACTGGAACAAAACAGAAAGTTAGTTAGGTGGTTAAATATCTTCAAAAAAGGAAAAATAGTGAGGTACTTACTTACGTGGAACAAATATGAAAGTTGGTTACTATTTAGTGACATTGTCCCTATTTACAGACAGCACAGCACAGCACAGCACCTATTGTTATGAATACATTTTGTTTTGTTTCTCGGATCTCAAATCTCAACACCATGTTGTGTAAGTGTCGTGTATTTTGGAGATATCTGTTCTGTTCCCTCCCTCCCTCCAGTGGAGGTGATTGAAGGCAGCCTGACAAGTGTTGTTACCTTTTTGTGTTGTTCAACCCAGACAATCTGTCCCTGTAGGAGTAAGAGTAGGAGTAGGAGTAGGAGGGTTTGCATCTGAAGTTGGTGGGGTGGTGGTGACAGTGACACCTGGCAATGGCATGGGCATGGTGTAGTCATTATGAAGCATGTCCAAATCATTCCATTCAACACTCGCTATTGGCTCCAGAGTTAGGGAACACCATATCATCATCATCATATTTTTGTTAAAAGTAATGAATTGTTTGTTACAATAAATAGCAATGTACTTTCATTAACCCATTTCTTTATTATAAATCTTCATTTCTGACTATCACAGCATTCTAATTTTTTTTTTTTTTTCTAACGCATTGATTTTTGAAAAATCTACCTTATTGTAGCATTCCATTTCCAACTTTTTTTCTTATCAGGACATTTGACTTTAAAAAAATTCTATTATAATGCTGAAGGATTACAACATTGTAATAGGAAGAAATGAAAGTAGAATGATATGGTGAAGAATTCAATGAAAGTAGGTTGCTATTTCTTTGCATTTAAGCCTTTGTAACGTTACTTTTAATGTAGAGAATGAGGACCTTTTGTACGCTACAGAGTCGGACAAGGGATGGAGTAACAATATATATATATATATATATATATATATATATATATATATATATACACACACACACACACAAGAAGGAAAGGAAAGGAAAGGATACATTCAGTCGTCCATATGTCTGTGATGCTGACATCGGCTTCTGATAAAAGCCAGTAGTCTGCGTCGCTCTGCAAAGACCAAGCAAGGTAACAGTTAGTAGACAGTTTCAATAATGCGGAGGGCATTCATGTCTTTTTCCATTGACATCATCAATCAGATCAGATCAGATCAGCCAGCCGATGGAAAGCAGCTAGCTAGACTTACATCAATATCTGGAACTATCTTCATAATCCCACCGCTAACAAAGTCCTCTGATGTGTGAGCATCAGTTCCAGGCCTCTCATCCATTGTTGTTTCTTTAATCGGATTCTCAACCATCCCCAAACTTGAAGGGATGCCACCATTCATTTCCTCAACCTTCTCCTCAAATTGGCTAAAAATGGCAAATTGGCACAAAAAACCACTTCACATGTTATATATAACAGGGTACAAGGGTGTTTGTTTTACAAGAAATCGGAATACTCAAATGGTCATTCTTTTCTTTATTTCTATTATCTAGAATGAGAAAAGCCCTTTTCTTAAAACAAATCTTTTTTCTGAATAGTATACTTGTAAAAGTGTTTATGAAAACAATTTTTAGGTGTAAAAAGTAAAATATACATACATATAAATTACTAAACAAGTATTATAAATAAGAAGAAGAAGAAACCAACATACTACAATCCTAAGTAATAATAGGGTAGGGTTTCAGTCATTTAATACATATGATATGAATTTCCCCACTGGTGTGGTGGGAATTCCAACACAATTTAATGGAATGGAATGAAATTGAATTCCAATTCCTAAAGCTACAAGACAAGAAAAAAAAAAGGCTTAAAATCGTGCCAAGTGGGCTTGGAGTTGGGAGGAATGTTTAAAGATGGGAGATACAAAAAAACTACCAAAATAGACAAGGAAAGTACTAGGGTACCTACCTGACAAGGTAAACATCAATAGGCCCCATTGTACTCCTCAGAACTATTCTATATCTCCTTTGAAGATGGTCAACACCCTGAATTACAAAACATAACAAAACCAAACTTATTGCAACCTCTATCTATATATGCATATCATATTTCCTTTTAAATTACCTCATCAGGATCTGGAACTTCTAGAGTAGTCCCATGCGGGGCTTTGATTGCAATCAAGGTTTCTTCCTGAACCCATCAAACCCAAAACTCACTCCCATCATTCAAAGCTACACTACTTATATAAAATATATATTTACAAAACTAATTTTTTTTTTAACATTTAAACAAACCCATTAATAGATTAAATCCACAAAAATATAGTAATTACAAAATATTAACAGATCCAGAAACTGAGAGGTAGTACTTTCCTTACGAAAGAAAAAATATATATTTAATTTACCTGGAAGCAGGGCAGGCTCTTAATGTCGTCTTCAGTGACGAAAAGCCACCTAATACATACATGGGTCAATATGTTATTAAATGGAATAGACATGTTGAAAAATCTCTTTCCAATTGAGATAATGTATGAGAGAGTTGTGTTTTTTTTTTCTCATCAATTGAGGAAGTATCTGAGAAAAAAATAAATAAACCCCACTCTTTCAGGGACTTGGGTATTGTTGATGTTGATGAAAGAAAAAAGATTAACGTGGGAAGACTTGTAAGAAAGTAAGAACTTAATGGGAAAAGCCTCCTGTATCAAGCCCTTCTTTTTACATTAAGTTAAAAAGAAAACACCAGCTTAAGGGATTGTTTCCTTGTTAAGTCCTACTCCTGAATGGATAAATTGACTGAACTAGTAATGAAATCGAGTCTGTTTCCCTTTTTGTTATCTGAATTCAAAAAAATGTCTATATTATCCTTCGTTTATTTAATGTAAATATCCTACATATACCATTAAATATTTACCAATGAAGAAAGAAACATAATTTTGTTGTTTGCAACAAAACAAAAAGTCGAGATTAACAAATTGCAATAATCAACTATAAATTATTAAACTATCAAAAAAATCATTTAATCACTAAACAAAAACCTAATCGGGAGTGCCAAAGAAAATCAAGAACATAAGCTATCAAAAAACCAAATCGGAGTACCAAAGAAAAATTTAAAACAAACTTTAATCAAAAGCACATGTAATTGAACCATGGGTTAGCAGTGAGGAACCAAGACGGAGATGGTGAAAAAAGAAACATCAAAATTCAAACCTTTATTGGAGGAAATAAATACATGAAACCATTAGAATCAGAAAAAAAGAAAATTTCAAGTGGGGAAGAAGAGTTTTTTTTTAAACCTATAAATTCTTCAATGCGAAAGTTAAAGAAGCAAAAAATCATAGATTATGGCGTCTTAATTCATAGACCCACCCACACCCTAAGTTTTGTATTCATTAAGCTCGTTAAGTCGAAAAGAAACAGCACCTAAGTCTTATCCCCATTAAGTGAAAAGTTAAATGCATAACTAACAGAGAAAGGAGGCTTTTCCTATTAAGTCATAAGTTTTTTAAAAAATTTCCCTCATTTGTTTTTCTTATTCAATGTTCCCAAGTGTGCAAATATATTTTAGATGGTTGAAAGAAAGATAAGAGACGTTACTTTTGATTACTTTCGTCTTCACTCAGATCCCTTAACCTCTCTTGCATTTCTCTGTGGCAAATTTGACAAAATAGAGCATTAGGCATTAGCATTGCTATAATATAACTGCCAAGATAACAATATATATATATATATATATATATATATATATATATATATATATATATATATATATATATAAACAACCTAACCTTGTTTCCTCATCTAATCTAAGCTCCTCTACTGAAAGATTTTCAACTTCTGCCTGCCATGGAGAAAAAGATAAACAAGCCTAAGAAGGAAGAATATGTTGCATGCAAATGGATTACATTGAATACGAAGCAGGGCATGAATACGGAATTATTTGGTTAATAAGAAGATAATGGAGTAGTTAAGAGCAGATATCTGAACACTCAAGTCAAGGCCCTTCTACTTTTCTTGACCGTTTATAAAATCATTTTCTGAAGAAGAGCAAAATACAACCTACTTTCACCATTTTAGCGATTTGGCAACTAATATTTTTATTATACTGGCAGTTCAGTGGCTAGATAAAAACAGATAATAGTTCCAAGGCTATATCAATAAAATGTTGAAAGTATGTTGTGTTCTTTTCACCATTTTTTTAACAGTCAAAAAAGTTATTTTCCGAGTTAACCAACCGGCTTTGAAAAGAAGAAAAATACAGAGAAGAACAAGGCACTTTCACCATTCCGTTGACTTAGCAACTCGAATATTATTTTTTTAATAATAGTTCAGTGGCTAGATTGATAAAAACAAAAAAAAAATGATAGTTCAATACGTTGTGCTCTTTTTGCCATTTTATAGATTAAGCCATTTAACTGTTGTCTGGAGTAGAGTGATTAAACAATTTTACTTCTTGACTTGTGTCGTGACCGTGACAAAATCATTTTCCTGGTTACACGGTTTTAAAAAGGAGCATAATACAGAAAAACACAAGCTGTTTTCACCATTTCCTCAATTTAGCAACTCAGATACTATATAGTTATTATGATTATTATATTATAACAAGTGGCTAAACAAAATCTACTAAAAATAATAGCCGAACCGAGTGGCTAAATCAATAAAATTATGAAAGTATGTTGCGGTTTTTTGTATTTTGCCCTGATATCAAAAGTCAAAACCAAGTAACTTTGGTCAAAATATATACAACGGTTTAATCAGTGGTTAAATTGATAAAATGGTGAAACTACATATTTTGTCCTTTATGGATTGAATGGAAATGTACCTACCTGTAAACTAGCAATACTCTCATCAACCTCCCCTTTCGATGCATCAAGTCCCCTAGTTTACCAATCAACTTGTTAGAATGTAGCAAGTGTTGTAATAAAAAAAATCAAGAAACATTCCATACTTCCATTGAATCCTGTTCTTTAGCTTTTTCTCTATGAGACCAATTCCTTCTAGCACATTTGTTATATCATAGATGCGCCTCTTTTGTACCTGTAGCAAGTTCATGTGTCGTGTCGTGTCGTGTCGTGTCTGAATAAATGATGTTTAAAAAATAGATTCAATAGAATAGAGTACCTCTAGTGTTTCTGCTGCTTTATTTAGATCAAGAATACCATCTTCTGCATGCTTGATAAGGTTGATGAACTTCTTAGTTAAAAGACCTGATTTTACAAATCATGCTAAATCTTCATAGTTCATATACATATAAACAAAGACTGGACAAACTTTCTAGGGCTATTATATTTATGGGCATTCACGTAATTTGCACAAACAAGGCCTCATCTTGTTCCAAGGAACCTTTTCTGGCGAAACATGAAATTTGCAAATTTTCCCTATCAATATCAGTTTGTCATTGCGCAAACTGATAGAATGTCTTTATATATATATATATATATATATATATATATATATATATATATCAAATGAGAAAACCTAAAAGGTTGAGAACGCGAGAACAAAGTATATTCATTTGTGATTCCATGTATTCATTTGTGGAGAAATGATAAATTTTTACGCCTTTAATTTCAATTGAAGAGAAAAAGCCATACAACTTCATCCCAATCAAAAATTTATCATTTCTCCACAAATGAATACATGGAATCACAAATGAATATACTTTGTTCTCGCGTTCTCAACCTTTTAGGTGTTATCATTTGATATATATATATATATATATATATATATATATATATATATATAGAGAGAGAGAGAGAGAGAGAGAGAGAAAGGTTGGTGCAGTTATTTATGTGTTACCTAAAGAGCTATCATATCGACAGGGGCCAACAGGGGTAAGATTATGTCCTGATGGAGAATCTGCATAATTCAGTTTGCAACAAAAACTGATCACAATATTTAATTCGAGTCGAAATAAAGATTTTTTTTTTTTTGGTGAAGCTCACCAGCATTGGATCCTGCCCTATTGCACTTTCCAATTCTAGGAATTTTTTGTGGTTTTGATGCTTTCCCAGAAACAGGGGTTTGTAGAGAAGTGGTAGTAGGTAAAGTGTTTCCAGGAGTGGGGCTCTGGCTCTGCTCATTAGTTGCATCCCCCTTCCTCTTTAATGGCTAACAAACAAATTTCAACGCATATAATCATCAATTTTCCATTATTCATTACAAAGAAAAATTCTTATTATTGACTATGTATACACATAATAATCAACCAATACTATATGGAAGTGGTTGACCCAACCAAATTATAAATTTATAATTGAAATATAAAACCATTACACTGTTTGTTGTTCACAAAGAGAATGCCTCATAGCTCGGGAAGGCATAAGAATAATAGATTACAATTCAAATTTCAAAGGGAAAGGGTTACTCCATCAACAATAATTTAGATCTGAAATATATCCCAAAACTTTTCACAACATTCATCTGATCATGGCTAAGATGTTGGGGACAGGACTAAACTATATAAAAGTTTTACACTTTTACCTGTGGCCAAAAAAAAAAAAAGTAACAACTTAACAGATAAAGTCAGGGGAAGGAGGCATTCCCATTAACTCTTTTACAAATTTATCTTTACACATTCTTTCCTCCACTATACCAAGCGTGTCGTCATTTTCTCAAATAAATAAATAAATAAATAAAAATGAACGCTTCAACATAGCGTAAAATCCCCCCATTAATCCATAATGGAAAGAAAGAGCAGCACCTAATTTATCAGCATGCACAAATGGTTTGAGGGAGGTTACTTCAGAAAGAAAAGAATATTTGCATTGGAATGGATCAGCAATGTCAGATTTGATGCAACTCAAAAAGACTTTTCACTAATTAAATAAAGATTGATTGAAAGGGGACTATATTAACTTTTATTGGCAACAGGCTTCCATACTCTATACTTTCACATATGTCATCCACTGCCATAATAAAATAAGTAATAAATCATTTCCCGCTACAAAGAAAGAAAAATCCAAAATATGTTTTTACTTGATTAGAATTTGATACCTCAACATCCAGATCCCCAATAATAGTATTAGAACCCGACTAACAAGTTACATCATATCATCGCCAAGCCAATATAACATACTAACAATCCATTGGCCCTGCTCTTGCATTAAGTGTCTCATTCAAGAATACTTTTGCTAGAGTTGCATTGCATATGGTTGAAAATTAAACTGTAAGCATTAGTAATAGATAACAAAACTAAAAAATTTCCATCTTTTATCTAGTATTGTTTTATGGGAACAACCAAGTCCTATTCAGAAGTTAAGTAAGAAAGGAACACCAATGTTTTACATTATTCATAATGATGTCATGCCACTACTTTTCCCAGACATACCTTTTTCTTTAGGTTTAGTCCAAGGGTTGATTACTTTCCTAACATGTAAAGCTTTTGATGATCATAGTAGAATCAAGGAAAATACAGTGTAAATGTTTGCAACAGCTAATATTAAAAACATTACCTAGCAGCATAGCAGAGATGGATTTAACAATTATTGCATGCAAATTACATCCACCTTAAGAGAATTACTTAAGAGTCAATATATATATATATATATATATATATATATATATATATATATATATATAATACAAGTTTAGCTGCCCATGGCCATATATACCCACTAACGTTATATATACAAGACCAGAATATGTCCATATCATACAGCTAATGCTCCCTCCCAATAACAATAACATAAATTTTCGATTGTCTTTTGATTTGTGTGATATTCTAGTGGTTTTGAAACTGCTCAACAAACTATGTTTGTAGTTTGGCTTCTCAACCTAACTAATTACAGTTGAACTCTGCTACGAAGTAAATTATTTCGTCCCTGCTGGAACTTTCATACAACATCTTTCTTGTGTTGTGTACAGTGTACCATGGATAGACAAATGCCCATGTTTCTAAGTTCTAACTCTCACCTTAAAAAGTTATATGAGAAGTAAATAAAAGCCCTTGCCCTTGGCATGGAATTTTATTCTTCCCACAGTAAGCACAGTCAGTTTTAGGGTGGTATCTTTTTGCAGAAACAGGTGTGGGAGTGGGAGTGGGAGTGGGAATGTGAGGCTCTTATGTCAGCCACCTAGCGGGCTGCTATGTAACTAATTTACTTACACCTCAGTCCTCATGTGAAGTTCCAGGGCAGGACAGCTCAGTGGTTCTTGTGTTGTGGGTACTGACTACTGAGCACGTGATGCTCTTGATGTAACCAGCTAAATGGCTGCTAGAAGAATAAATAACCTTTTTGCAGGATGTCAATTTCCTATTAAAACCTGGCATTCTTCAAACATTTCCTTGTAAGTAACACCCTCAGACTCTTAAGCTTTTTCATTGAGCTAGGTTACTTCAATAACAACTAAAAAACTAAATATCTGCACACCTCAAATCCAAGAGCTATAATGATAAAAGCTTGCATTTTTTGACCAAATATATGATTCTAAACTGGTTGTTCTTAAAGATATTTCTATATTATTTTAATCTTTGATAGCATTTTCCAATTTATACAGACTAGTTGCTACTGAGAAAAATATTAGATACCACACCTCCAAAAGCTTGATTAAATTCAAGCATAGTGCTAGGACTAGAACGAAATCAAGATCTTCAGCTCATAGAAACAGAATACAGACAAAAGCCCTGGACTTAAAAGGGAATAGCCAAAAAGTTACCCATATTTGCATGCAGACCGACTCATCCTAGTTAAGAACTCAGCTTTGACGGTTGAGATCCTTGGAGTCGATTTAACTAACAAACTTGATCACACATCTATCTTTGAACCAAAACGAATATCAGGAATTACTAAAATTCAGATATGAACGGAAATAATATAACCCGCCCTCAACAGAAGAAAGTAAACAGATCAGATCTCCAAGAATTTGATAAATTATGAGAAAAGAAAAAACACCATACAGGCAGAGCTGGAAACTAAAGTGTATGCTTACAGGAGTTTTGACGACTATGCCTTCCGATTCGTGATGGGCGGCAGTAGTTGAAGAGAATCGATGATAGTCACCGAAGGGCGGCGGCTTCATTGATGTAAAAGGAAGCTGACGTTTTAAGAAGGAATGATTATGATTTTGCTGGTGTTGCATGATCTGGCGCAATCGTTGACTAATTCGAAGCAAATCAAAACCAACCGCAACTGATTCTAGATGCAATTGGAGTAGAATTGAGAAGAGCGATCGATTAAGCCCTTTTTTGGAGGTCTATTTGGGGGTTTTACACAGTGATCGAATCTGCGAAGAGCAATTGAATTGGGCGGGAAGAAGGAGGGATTGTGTGAGAGAGATCTGGTTGATGGGAAAAGTGAAGAATGATTGGAAAAAGCGGGAAGAGAGAGATAAAGAGAAGACTACAAAAGGGTAGAGAAGGAGGGAATTTGGTTCGGATATGGATGTGGAGGGAAGCTCTTCATTCTTCTTGGTATTATACTTGCAATTCTTTTCCTTTTAAATGCTCTTTCTAACAAGTAAGAATACAAAATTAAAGATTAAAAAACAACTAAACGCGATTTATTTCTAGACCGATCCCACGTATCATAAATGTTTCTAAATCAATAAAGTTGTACTCAGATTTAAACTCCACATGTCATTTATTGGTCTTTATTATTATTTTTATTATATATATATATATATATATATTATATATATATATATATATATATATATATATATATATATATAGAGGTTCATTTGAGACCACCTATATTTTGTGAGACATAAGGACCAAATTTTAGTCATTGATCAAATTTGATCTTGTGGTTCAAAAAAAACTCTGTTTAAAGCGCTTAATTAAACACTCAATGGTAGATTAGTCAGCTTTTAATCATATAATGAAATCCCCTGATTTACATGATCTTTCCTTAATCAACGTAACATAATCAGATTCGCTCTTTCATCCGTTGATTTCCTCATATGGTTTTCTCAATCGCAACAATATTTTGATTGAATGAGAAGCAAAAAACTTGAGTTTTGTACGTTAATTGTCACTCACACTGAGATGATTTGTGATTTTACAGGCGTATTGAAAGAGATTTCAACAATTGATCAGTAGTTCACATCGATTTCAAGCTTTCACGAGCGACTGATCATCAATTGATATCTTCGATTGAGATCGTTTTCAGCAATTGGAGGTTTCATCGGAATTAGATCTTATCCCCTTCATTTGATGACTTTCAACTTCAGAACTAGATTGAAATTGATTTTTCACCAAAATACGCTTTCATCAAGTTACATAAAACGATGTTAGCAATTGATCATAAGATTCATATCGCTTTCAGCATTTTCAAGCTTCGATTTTGCTTCTTGGTAAGCGCTTTCAACTATTCATCATCATCGTCATCAGATCGAGATCGATTTTCAGCCCCTTCAAGCTTTGATTTTTACTCCTAGATCTTAAATTTTCAATCTAATAATGTATGTACAAAACAGTTACTGTTCTCTAGCAAATTCTCTTAAACTATACATGCATTCTATGTGTTTGATGAAAATCCTAGATGAACAAAGAGTTTGATGTATCATTCCTCTTTCCCACGACTAATGTCTTCTTTAAGAATTGGAGTATACTTCTTAAAATATGAGTCACAATTGGTATAAAACAATGTAATGTTAACTACTTTTATTATATTTACCATAGTTTTGTTAAAACATGTTTTTTTTGTCAAACATAAAAATATTGGAGATGTCTTTTTAGCATAGTTTGGTTTGAATATGCTCTTGTTAAGTTGCAGAAAAGGATTGTGTTAAAGAAAAGACTATATGCTCTTAAATTTACCATATGTAAATTCAGGTGCATGATATACATCAAATGTTTTTAGAATATGATCGTTATTATAGTTTTTTTAAATTTTTTTTCCATCAAACACAAAAGGTTGGATGTCTCTGTTAGCAATGTTTATTATTCTTATTAACGTGCAGTAAGGGGATGTACTAAGAAAGATTATTAAATTCAGAGTATTTTTTGTCAGTGTTTACATTGTGTCTTGTATGATCAATTACATTACATAATACATTGTTATGATGTATAATCACTCATAGACTTCATTTTCAGATATTTGATTGTATCCATACTTGATTCTAACAATTATTTCATTTATGGTTGCAGATAGTTGTAGCTGATGAAGCTCAACTTGAAAGGAACTTGAATATTTCAAGCTATAAGTTTTCAACTACAAGTGTCAAGATTAATAAATATGTAATAGATTTTATATGTCACAAACATGTAATATTTTTTTATGGTTTTTGATGCATTGTTATGTGACTATAACTTTGTAAGATCCTTTTGAGATTATTCATCATCCCTTTATCTAACATGACAACCCAATGATCGAGTTTTATGGTTTTCAAATTATCAGTGTTTATCTAATCATTAAGATTCTTTGTTTTAGTTTCATCCACTATGTTGGCTTTTGATACTGTTATTTTATTCGATTCATTTGAATAAACAAAATTAATGTAAGATATTTAGAATTCAACTATAATATGAAAATTATACCATAATAAACAACACATTAATCATTAAACTAACAATATCCTTGTAACTTTAATTTTTAATTTTAGAATATTACGTGTTCTAATATCAGAATATGAACGTAATTTAAAAATATGACACATACTTTAAGAATATGAAAAATAATTTCAAAATATTTCACATTACTTAACTGTTAATCAAGTACTATCACAATACTTCACAAAAGATATTCAAACCAAGTTGTTTTCAACAAAAAACAGACTATCTAAAATCATATATTACATATTATATAACAAAAACGTTAGAAGCAAATTGTTTCCAATAAAACCAGAATGTCTAAAATGATAATATGACACATATTTTCATAATATTTCACATTACCTTACAGTATGTCAAGTGCTATCACAATATTACACATTACTTTAGTGAAAGGATTAAAGCAAGTAGTTTCTAACAGAATAACATCTAATATAAAAAAGCAACAAATGACTCGTCAAATCATATGTGTATAATATCAAGTTATCAAGTAAAAATTTATAATATTAGAATCCTTACATAGCATAATTACATATTACACATTACAAAATATTATAATAATAGACTTTAATATCAGAATATTGCACACAATTTCGAAATATTACATCTTAACAAACTAATATTAAATATGGAACATTTAGAATAACTAGAATAATAACATATCAATAAGTATTAGAAAACCCAAAATTTAATTAGGTATTTCTATCAGAATACTCTACATGTAACTTATAATATCCTACAACATTATTTTGTTAGAATATTCTAAATATAAGTTTTGAAAATAGACAAGTTCAGCTCTAAGTAATGTCCCTATTTATAGAAAACATGAAAGCACACATAAAATTACAAGGACTAAACAAGTACGCTTCGTTACATAAATGCCTTGTAAAATAAACTTATGACTTCGACATATTACAACAGGTCTTCGACCCTTACATTGTCCCCCTTTGTAATAATGTCGACCATCTTCAGTTCAAAAGAATTTGTATCGCATACAGCATCACCCTACGAATTTCAGAATACCAAGAAATGATATTCTTCAACTATTTCTTGTCGCCTTTGTTATTCTTCTTGCAGCTATTCATACGAACAATGAAATTTATATACTGGGACGTTGTGTATCTCTCCACTTCGCAAGCTTGGAATAAGAATCTCTTGGCTTTTCCATTTTTGTCTTTTCCTACGAAGACCATCCCAAAAGGCTTCAAACATATTTTCCCATCAGCATACTTCTTCAACTCAGGTTGAGTCTTCGTTGGTTCCATGGGTACTTTCACTTCTAACCCCTTCGTAGTTGCTAACTTCACATCCATTAGGGCCAAACACTCATAGTAGTTATCTATGAATATTTTGATGTGAGCTAGACCAAGACGAAACACTTCTGGATTAGTCTCTCGAAGATACGAAGCATCTTTGTCTTTCAGAAGTAATGCAACTTGTATAAGATCATACAAGTTCATTAATGGAAAATCGGCAATTAAGAAATTACACCCCTGACCATTCGCCCTTGCAACGTAAAATCGAAGGTTCTGCATCATGTCTTCGAAAAGAACATCCTTTTGAATACTGATCACCTTCTTGATCTTCACGAGTGACCAAATCTCCTCTGGAAGTTTCCCTAACACAACATGAAACCTGAGCTTCATGTATGTGTAATCATCATCATTGTCGAACTTCTCAGCAATTTTGTACTGAGCCATGATGAACATCATTTTGTTGATTGGGAAATCCAGTTGTCTCATATCCGTATTAACAACTGCATAGCTCTGCTTCGGCTTCTTCTCAAAAGCATACATATGGTTATATGCAACTTTAGCTTCGATTGTTTCATAGTTGTAATGCTTTGCAGGATCACCCTTGTTCATTCCAGGTGGGTCACTTGCAAAAAGACTTAAAATGCTTTGTACAACTCTCAATTTCTCAAGCTCAGCTTCAGTTTCAGCTTTCTTCTCCTCTTTCGATTTTTCGACCATAATTGTTTTTCCTCTATCTTTGACCGCAAAACTATCAACAACCTCCTTGGGCTTCGAACTGCTACCACCTTCCCCAATCACAATTCCTTTAGAAATTGGTCTTGGAATTAGCTTCGTTGAAATTGGCATTGCTGTCACAACTGTCGAAGTAACAGGCCCCGTAGTTGAGATAATTAGCTTTGACACTGGAATTGTTGTTTGAAAAATCTTCCCAATAGTTTTCACACTTTCATGCGAACCTTCACTAACCTTCGCATTACCAACCTTCTTCTCTCCCCCTTGCACCCCTGTGACCATAGGTGGGGCATCTGTTGGTAGTAAACTGGAAAACTTGGATAATGGAGCTAACTGTTTGTGCAACACAGCCTCGAACTGAGAAAACTTCTGAGACAAGAATTCTGGAGTTATTATCGAAGAGGCAACAGGTGTGGTAGACAAACCCTTTAACTCCTTCAACAAAGAAGTAAGCTCCACAAAGCTTCGACTGTTATATGTTGAAAGTTGGGTAACTTGAGGACTCAAGCCTTCATACAACTTGACATACTTTGTGACAGCCTCACAAATAACATCCACTTTTTGATTTAGAGATGCATAGTCTTGTTGCGCACTAGCAATCTCTTTGACAATGTCTTCACGAAGTTCTTGAAGCTTGAGATTGACATCTTCGCGAACTTGCTTCACATCTTTAATGAATAAGACATGTCTTTCTTTAGCTACCCTTCGTAGGTCTTTAACTTCACTCACAAAGTTCGAAGACTGAGACTTCACCCGCAATTCGTTACACTTATCACTTTGATCCGCCTTCTCCAAGATTTTAGACTCAGAATCTTGAATCATTCCAAACACTTTATTAACCATTCTGGCTTCGAATGCTTTAAGCATAACATCCAATTCCAAACTTGAAAGAGATTGACTTCCCCCCATGTCAGCTTGAGATTGAATAATAGAATTCA